TGCTCTCCTCTCTGCTTTTCCTAGTCGTACTAAAAGAAGCCCTGTGCCACAGAGCCCAGCCCCCAGGGATGCCTCTTGCCTGCCCAAAGAAGCAGGGAGGAGAAGGGAAAGGAGCTCACCAACACACACTGCAGGCATTTCTCTCTCTTCTCCCCTGCTCACTGGGAAATCGGAGTGGAACCCCCTCCCTCACTCTCACACACACATACGAGCCGAAGGGGGGGGGACGAACGAGATTCCCCCCCTCTTACCCACCATGATGTGCCGGCAGCGGGAGGGAAAAGAGCAGAATGCCATCAATCTTTTGCCTCTTGAGTCCCCGAGGAGGGGGAGAGCAGAGGATGGAGGGAGGGGCCCGCAAAACCCACGGGGGGGGGCCGAGGGCCCCACACAGGCTACGGGCCTGCCCACTTACTGTTATTATTCTGCACCTGGTTTGTTTGACCTCCTATAAAATAAATTATTTTCAGTGTTCACTCTGCCTGGTCCTCACACCTATTATTCGGCTAAAAGGGAGGTCTGAAGGTCTTGGGAGGGTGCTCTGGGCCTTCTCAAGGGATCCTAAATCCAGAGTGGTGGCAGCGTCAGGTGACACCCCACCTGAGCCATGACAGGGGTATTGCCAAAGAGGCATACAGAAATTAAGATGGCCCTTCAGTTGAATAAAAGCTATGCACAAATCGCTAAACTCATGGTTAGGGTTGCCAATCCCCAGGTAGAGCCTGGAGATCTCCCAGGTATTATAACTGCTTTCTAGACTACAGAGATGAATTTCCCTGGAGAAAATGGCTGCTTTGGAGGGTGGACTCTAGGGCATTGTGCCCTGCTTTTTTTAAAATTATTTTTATTAAATTTTATAAGCCTATATTATACACTTAAACACAATCATCCGCAAGTTTACATATATTTCCATGCCTTATATCACACTTATTTTCTCTACAACACAGAATTAATATTTCCAGCATTCCTTCAATAACTAACTTTCCTTATTTTCACAATTCAAATCAAATCCAATCTGTGTTGACTAAACCTCTATATTCCTGTAACCTTTTGAGGTTGAATAAGTGCCAATTCAAAATTTAAAGTTCTTATCCCCAACTCTATCAAGTTCTAACTCTTATCCCAGCTCTATGTCTTGCCAATTCTGTGTAATCAATATATGGGTTTAAATTCATAATTATTTCTTTTCCCTTTTGTATCCATTAGTTTACAACATAAGATTTTTATATTTTCTTAATATTTTGTTTAAAGCCTTTAGTTTCTTTTTTCAAACATTCCTTTTCCCTTAGACTTCTCTACATCGTCCAATTATAATTTCCAAATCTGCAATTACCTTAGATCTCCCTATGACTAACCTTATTACGTACCTTACAATGAGTAACAAAGAGCCTATTTACATCCAGTTTCCCTTCTAGCCGGTGGCACAATCAGTTCTGATCAATTTCTAATCCCATAATTATACATTACCCCACAATCAGTTACAGCTTCATTATTCATTATTCTTAAATACACTTAATTTCATTTGTTGATCTGTTAAAGACCTCATAAGCCTTTTACATGCCTGTTTGAGATTAGAAGCTAAAAAGGGTTCCAGGCAGCGAGGGAACGGCGGAGGCTGGGCCTGCGCCTGCAGCAGCGAAAGCCAAAGCGGCTGGCGTGCCCTGTCGCTGTCAATCAAAGCCGACGAACTCGCG